TCAATGTCATGTGTTCAAAGCGTTCAGGGCTGTAGTTGGACAACTTGCCAAGTCATCAGATGAGCGGGAACGTCTGTTGAGCTGCTTTGGTGAGATGTTGCACGCTCCTACTTCAGACAAGTTCAAGGAAGCGAAGGCCGAGTTTGAGAGGTTTGCAAGTGCAGATGTTTCCAGCTATTTCGCTAAAAACTGGGGCAGCATTCCCAAAAATGTCCGTTAGGCACCTCTGCGACTGAAAATTCACGGGCGGCAACAACACTACAAACCGCGTTGAATCGCATAACGCCCGGATAAAACATGTCCTGTTCTCATCATCAAAACTCCATGAAGCGCTGCGTGGACTAAGGAAGTTGTCAAGTAGCATGCTTCACGAGGTTCGTCACAAGATCATGCTCTTAAAGACTTCAGAGTTTTATTCTTACGAAGCATCCAAAGATGTACAAAAGCAGTGCTCAAAAGTACTTACACCGTACGCCTGCAAGTTGGTAAGCGACGAGCTGGCCAAGAGACGAGACGATTCTTTACAGATTAAAATCCTCTCTCCGGAAACCTACGCAGCTTCATCCAGTTGCTCCGACGTCAGCCATAAGGTTTCGTTTCAGGATCAGTCGTGCAGCTGTACCACATACGCCAAATGGGACTACTTTGTCAACATTTCCTCGCCGTCTGTGTGAAGTTCGATCTAAAACCACCCCTTGAAAAGGCAGTTCACAAGTGCTGGTTTAAGTCGTGCCAACTGCAGTTCCTCAGCAATTCTGCAAAAAGCAACCCTGAAGCTGGCAGTTCCAAAGAACCAAGAATACATTCTATGCCAGGGTCCTCCCTTGAGAAGATGAACCGGAACCAGAGATTAAACTATAGAATGTGAACACTTAGAGCTGTCGCAGACAACTTGGCTGACTGCCACCCAGACGTCTTTGTAACACGCCTAGCGTTCCTCGAGTCTCTGAATGCCTCTTGGTTGAGGAGAGAGGATGTAACACCAAGAGTTTCCCATGAAGAGTATGAAGATGTTGAAGTAGTGGAAAATGTCACCACACAAGATGTCCGTCCAGCCATCGTGTCTAAAATCAATCAACAGGAGGAAACCGAACAGGAACAAGTCAACGTGGCCACTGGATGTGCTAGCAGCAGAGGCAATGTAACTGTTTCAGATAGTGACACACCAAGCAGTGCTAGCCAAGGGTGCACTGCCACTTATCAGTTCAAACTCCCCGAGGTGAACAGCCGAGGACGTCCGTCAAAGAGAGTGCTACAGAACAGACTGAAGCGAGCAAAGGAACTGGATGAGGACGGGCCTGTGCCATTCAAGCATCTGTCTGAAAAGGCAAAAGCGAAATGTAAGAGAAAAAACCACATTGTGGTAATAATCTTTTCTGAACTCTGTTTTGCATTTTATCTTTCCAGTGCTCTTGGCTGGCTTAATTGACAAGCACCTCTCTCAAATGTGTGCTGGATGGATCATAATACCTCCTGGAGGAGACTGATGTGGAAGTTCGTCTGGAAACCCTGCCCAGTGCTCTGCTAGACTGCAGGGTTTCCCTACCAAGGCTCAAGAAATACTTTACCCCAGATGCATAATCCCTCTAGACTTCTTCAGGTATGCATTGTCATAATTTCTTCCATGGTATAACACTTTTGTGTTCTGCTTGAGCTTTGAACAGCAATTGCTTTTCTCACAGTTGCTGCAAAGAGCAATGAACTGTGGATTTGTAGTCTTTGCAAGGAAAAAGATGATGGAGAGCTGAAGATGGTCTGCTGTAAGCAATGTTTAGAGTGGTTTCACCGGTGAGGGCATCTTTATTAACTTTCCACTTTACCTGGTACGGTTCTTTAGTGTGCAGTCTGTATTTCATGCTGTCCTAACCATATCCCTCTGGATCCTAGGAAAGGTGTACCCCCTTAATTATGCAGTTTTCTTTTAGCAAGGATGAACATGTTCCTTTCAAATTATTTTATTACATTATAATTGCTCATAAGTTAAGAACAGAGAGCGAAGGGAGAGAGGACAAGTAGTAGAAAGGCTGAAGAGGAGGTTTCCCCTTTCCTCTTCAGCCCTCCTAGTGCTCGTCCTTTCTCCCGTCGCCCTCGCTTCTTAACCTGTCACTGACTACAGAAAGGGTTGAGATATAAAATATAGTTGCAACAAGGTTATTTAGGCTGGCCTGTTTCAAACACCCTTTAAAACAGCAACTATGGAGTACCTTTCTCACCGTCGCATGAGCATGAGAGGAAAAATATATGCACCAGGCTATTGTAGGCAATACAATTAGTTCCCCTTTTTGCTTGATTTGCAATTTTATTAAACTGCGCTGGGCACTCAGTCTCCTATATTGCAGGTCTTGCACTGCAGTAACCTGGCAAGATATCAAAAAGCAGAGGTGCTGTCTGCGGTGCAAAGAAGGGCTGTAAAGGCAGTCCGTAATGCAGCCTGCGGGCTTGTTGGCAGTAGCCAACTTTAATTAATAAACCCTATAAATGTTGTAATGTGTCCCTGCATCGCCTCATGTTTTAAAAGGCCATACTATACTGGTTTTGGATTCACCAAGGATATAAATTTTTAGCATCTTTTTTTTTAGTGTGATTAAAGTACAAAATACGTAAACTAATTATGCAAAAATATATCATAGGAAACGGGCCCTGCACACTTCCGGTGCTCTTCACTCGAAACGAACACCAAACCGGCGTTATCAGATCAAACTCATAACCCCCCCCCCCCCCCCCCCCCTCTTTCGGTGCTCTGGGGCCCGGAAATTTTACAATAGTACAGTTATGCTCTCACGCCTGTGACTTAGCTGCTATTTTAGAAGACTTGTTTAGTTTGGCATGGCCGTCCTTAGCCTGAATAGCAACTCCGATGGAATGACTTGGCTCAGAGTCACAGAGTCTGTATGGAAATTTAGACGAGCATGTTGACATACTTGTTAAGAAAAGGAAAGAAAGACATGACACGAAAAGATCCAAACGGGCGCGCTAGAAGAAGCATGCACGTTTCAAACTTGAGGGCGATCGTGCCTGCCCTCTAAATGCTGCCGTTCGTTGGAGTTGCTTAATTTATACTCAGCGTCAACATTTTCGTACTCAGATGACTCCCATTCCCCTTCCTCCAAAATCGGTTGTAATATGCGGGCATATGTCCGAGCGCAACCGTACCTACAAGCGCGAGCCCGCTGCCCTGAACGACGCGTGCACTGCACGAGCGCGCTTGTTGAAATCACGGAGCTCGCTCTTGCAACTTCTGCGGTGCTCACAGTTAAAGTGAAACGGAGTATAGCCACGCACCACTCGGCCCTGTAAGCATTACCAGCGTAGCGCAAAAGAGTTTACGTCGAGTATAGTTTGGCGTCCGTTGGCGATCGAGTAGAAGTACATGACAAAGTTGGCAGCAAAGTGTGTGTCGTGTCGTGCGACTAAACATCGGTTTTAGAATCCACCGCTAGATGGCGCAAGCCCATAAAAATTGGTCCATTCAGTTGGCGCAACCAGTTGGCGCAACTGCTGGGTAGTGCAAGCCGCCGCCCGGTTCAGGCTTAAGACGTATTCATCCATCCATCTATATGGTGTGAAGTGCGTATAGCCATTTCCGGTTGAGCCGCACTACGGGGTGCGTATTGGGCAGGAGACCGAACTATAGGGGGTGCTCTGACCCGTTTGTTTCCCCACACCTCGGTGTTTACTCAACACAAGGCCTGTGCAAATGCTCACAGGCCATATGGGCATGTCCATGTCATCTTCTACAATAGAGCGCGGGGCACAGTTTATTGTAAAAAATACTAACAATCAACGAAGCGACGTTAAGTGCCTGATCTATCCTTAGAGAATGCGAGCTTGACCCACTTCGGCTTTTGTGCTGAGCTGGGACCGTGCATGCTGCATTGTTCATCCAGGCCCGAGTGGAAAGAAAAGAGCCCCTCCTCCCCCTCACCGGAGAACACAAACTCCAGCCGAACGCTGATGCTGCGTTCGGTTATGTTGGCCGAGCGCTGAGTCACTGTATTTGTTGTCCCCATCCATGTAGTTCTAAAGTTAACCGGTTGGGGCGTCACGGTCGCTCCTCCTCCCCAATAGCTTTACTCATTTTTGAACATGACGGGTATAGACCCGCTGCTCTGGGGCAGGGGGCGCGAGCGCATCCGCAAGACGCGACCATGTTATGATGGCTGAACCATCCAGGTGGCTCTGTAATGTTTGATTTTGCAGGTGCCACGTTCGAATGCAAGCATCTAAAGGTGCGCGATAACAAAACCTCTAAAGAAATAAAAATTTAAAAAAGATTTATGGAGCTCGTGGCCGCGGGACACTGCGGCCACGAGCTCCATAAATCTTTTTTAAATTTTAAACATTCCTTTCATCATTGCCTTCTTTCATAGCTTCCGCAAGCACGTAAGTTTCACTTTACGTGATAGCGAAGCCGAAGCTACTCGCAAAAGTATGTCCTCCTGAAAGATGCTCGCACTGCACGAGCGCTTGTGCTTGACAGGGACGCTGAAATGTTCGCAGCTTGCTCTTGTAGCCTCTGCTACGCTGGAACTTAGAATGGAACGGAGTAGAAAAAAACTCTAGTGAGGGAAGCGTATTGACGCGTGTTCGAAACCCGAGCCAAATATTCGATTTTGCTCGCCTGGAGTGCTGCTCAAAACTTGAGAGCTACGGGTCTATATTTCAAATTTCGTTGAAGTATCCCTTTAAGGGTGAACGGAGTACAGCCTGCCACCGTGAACGATGAAGCCCGTGGCGCCGCATCCAACGATGATGAGATGGTATTGTACAGTTGCACGTGATGGTGGTTCAAATAGAGCTTGTGAACAAGGGTGAGGGGTTGATGCTGCAGTTAAAGACGTAGATGTTTCGTCTACGTCTTCTACTTTAACTTAAGTTAAATGCAGGCTCTGGAAATATGTAAAACTAAAACACTAATATGACAGACCTCGGCACTGGCCACCAAGATCGGCCCGCTAACTTGCGATCGCAACGTCACAAAGCAAGATGGTCGAACTTACGTTCCTCCCTCCAGGAAATTACAAACATTGTCGTCCCTTTTGGAAACAAGCTGGAACGTTTCCCGTATGATCTGCTGTTGAGACTCTTCGGGCTGAAATTGAAATGAATCAGTCGTTACAGAGGATGTCTCGTACGCCAGCTGGCATCCGATACAAAACTTTTAAGCCTATAAGGGGGGTCAACGACACTCCCTCTCCGCCGTGTTTCAACTGCGAATACTCACGTAAAACTGGTAAAACTTGGACAATCTCGGTTTCCCGTGATTGTTGAATACTAAAATGGCTTTGATCATCCTGAAATGCGTTAGTGGTCAAGTCGGTTTTCACTGTTTACTGCGAAACGTTTAACATACTGCCAGCAAGACTCCAACTTCAGCCATTACCACTGTGGACCGGCTGTCTGCTACTTTCGTTCTTGATGGAAATGTTCGTATATAACAACGAATATTGATTAGGTAGATGCTGATTATTATAAATAATAATAAATATTTACAGGCTTCTCTAGGAAGTGAATGTCCTATGCTTTTATATTTAATAATACGAAACTATTTAAAGACCTAAAACTAAATGCCGCCAATGTATGACGTCATCAGTAATAGTGTCAAGTTTGGGGAGAGTAAAGAAAGCATGAAAGGATCCCAAAACAGAATCTGCCTGCGACACCATAACCACGCTGCGGCTAGCAGCGCTCTCGCTGCGCGGTTTAAAAACGTTTAACGGCGAGCTGCGCTGCGGCGCTGTAATAGGTGGCGCTAGCATTTTGTTAGTGGGAAGCTGCATGCGGCCGACTCTAGAGCCATGATGCCCTTTATTGAAAAGTGTCTGGTTTTCCGCACCAACTCATTGTGTACGTCGTTTTTTGTTTTCCTGTCAACGGAGACGGGGTGAAGTCGGTCACTTGAATTGATTCCACCGCTTGAGCTGTTTCAGCCGTCAAAAGTTCCAAGATGCGAGAAATTGTTCACATCCAGGCCGGGCAGTGCGGCAACCAAATAGGTGCTAAGGTAAGCGTTGTTCGAGGTCACATGAACTGGGTTTGGAAGACTTTCCTATGATTCGCCTTACTCACTTTTGCCGGTCGCCACGCCTTAGGCTTAGAGAGTTTTTCTTTGCTACAGTTGCCACGTCTTTGTGAACATCTCGAGATTCGTTACGACGAAAAGTTTGAAAGCACCTCATTGACTCTTCAGCATACAAAGCAGGTGAATTTGTCTGCATATAAGCCCACAAGTGCACATAGTTTTCGCACAAAGCAAGACTGAACACACAAAAGGCTTTATGGAATGAGCACGTTCTGGCTCGCTTGTCACTTCAAAGAAACCGTTGCGGTAGTGGAAGCGTGCATAGTCTGGTAATTTTCTTCTGAAATGTATCTGAATTACCTTTGTGTAGCCCAGATGTGGTCAGTAATTACTATTATAATGACTACTCTACAAAAATCAATAAATTGTAAATGTTCGTTTATTTTAGGGAGTGGCGTAACTCTGGTACCCGGTTCGGATAAAATTTGGGCGAGCCTATCTCGCCGGCAACCGGCACAGTACTTCGGGCGGAAAAATGCCGGCAGTTTCCTCCATTGGCTGGCTGTAACCGCGTGACTACACTGCCGGCAAAATCTTGCGGTGTCATTTTCGTGTGAATCTCTGGGTCATGTTAACCCAATCTTCCCCTTTGTTCACGGCGCTTCGCGGCGACAGTCTGCGGCGGCTTATTACGAAAAGAGTAAAGCTATACGCACTCCGGAGTGCGCTTCGCGCGGAAATGGCTATACGCACTCCTCCGAGAGATCATGCCGCTCGGGCCACCAATTCGAACGGCGCGTGAATCACTGGGGCGCTCGTTAACACAGCCCCCCGCCTGCGTTCACGCCGCTTCGCGGCGACAGTATCGGCTGCTAATTACAAAGCGTAACCAGTACACGCCGCTTCGCGGCGTCCAGCCGGCAATCCAAGCCCCGCTGTCCCCGATCGCACCTCCGGAAAGGGAGTCCATACCATTTAGTTCTGCAAAGTTTCTCGACAACATTCGATTTTTTCTTTTTTTACTGTTCATCGCAAAAAAAGGAAATGTCGTAAATATCGCCAAATGCATCGACAAAACAAAATGTTTGAGAAAAAAAAAAAAAAAAAAAAAAAAGTAGGCCTACCGCGGATCGAACCCGCGTCCACTTGCGTGTGAAGCGGACACCCTAACCCCTACGCCATGGCACCGCTTAGAAAACTCGTTGTGTCCACTCTCTTTATACGAGAAAAGCGGAGTGCGTATAGCCATTTCCGTCCGAAGCGCACTCCGGAGTGCGTATAGCTTTACTCTTACGAAAATGTTAACCCGTATAGACCACTTAAGGCCGACCCACATAGGGCGTATTCTCGACGAATTTACACGCGCGTTTCAGCGGGCGTAATCACGGGATTTGGCGGTCGCTTTTTTCACAAGAGGGAAGAGGGGAAGGTCGCCAAACCACACACGACGCCTTTCGTCGACGTCTCCTCGGCGTTTGGTGCAGTGTGGCCCGACTCGCGCCATTCATGAAAGACAGCAAAATGTAAATCGGCTGCTATATTATTACGTTCCGTAATGGGAAAGAAATAACAGCTTTAATCAGCAACCCAAGCCTAATTTGCTAACGCATAAATCAACGTTACTAAAACACTCCGTTGGGAAACTCGCCGTCGAAACTTGTGCCGCTGGCGTCCACCGAGACCGAGCTAAATACAACAGCACCACTCTTTATCATTCGTCTGTGCTGTGGTCACCTAGAGCTTTTAGAAAGCATGTTTTTGCGTAAAAACAGACGGAAAAGACTTTTTGTATGAAATTTATTGGAGTTTAGTATGAAATGATGGGTGTGTTATGTTTTTAAAATCTTTAGTTTGCAAGGTTTTGTGGCACAATTAATATTGTTTTTATAAAACCATGCCTCAGCGGTGCTTTCAAGTAGCGCATCCCGACCTAGGTGCATTTTAACTTCAGTAGTAAGCCGCGGCGCATCTGCTGGGGAGACGAGGGTCGCACCTCTGTAACCTCTTCCACTGTATCTGTGTCGGCGCCAGAATGGCCGATTAACGTTGAAATAGAAGTAACGTGCAGTTCCTCGAGTGGCCGCTGTGGGAGAAATGGCGGCGTTGTGTTCGCCATTAGCTCGGTTCTCGAAAACAGAGCGGGGCCACTTTTTCTGAGCAGCCTTTTTGGCAGTTTCCCAACCGAGTGGTTTAGTAACGGCATAAATGCTCGCTGCGAATGTCAAGTTGTCAAAAGGTCCCGGCAGGAGGACGGCCGCGATCTCCGCTGAAAACCCTTCCTTTTGTAATTTTTTCTCATCGCCCGCAACATATATGGCATTTTCTTCTGTCTCAGTCGTTCATCGCTCGTTCTAAAGAGACATAGCGATTTCATACAGTTAGCCGATAAACCGGCGAACGCGACAAGTAAGCTCCCATTTCGGCGGCAGAGTTAAGCCAGCCACCCGGCCGCATAGCTAGGCAAGCAGATTCTCGAGCAACTTCCGGCTCTCAACTTGGGAGCTGATTGGCCCGCACCGCGCCGTACGCTTCCGGATAGGCCACGCCGAAATATGCTGAAGCGCCAAGGTCTGTCTCGGTCCGATCGCGGAATATGCGCGTATTTATGCCGACCGAGGAAGCGCTTGTCCCGACACCCGCTGTACGTCGGGATTGCGCCCGCCAAAAAGCTTGTATATATGTCGAAAATACGCCCTATGTGGTTCGGGCTTTAGGCCTCGTTCACACAGCCGGCGTTTCTCCTATCCCGTCACCGTTGCGAGGGGCGTTCTTGTCAAGGGAGAGGATTTTCGGCCCGGTTTTCGATGGAAAGTTGTGCCGTGCCGGGCGACGTAGGGAACTGCTCTACGGTACCGGTGCCCTGGCAGATGACGGAGTCCCGCCCCATCGAAAACCGACCAATCACAAAATAGAAAAGTTTTGCCAAGTTTGGAAGATTTTTCATCATTCGGTTGCCAACAGTGAGCCAACACTTGTTCTGTTTTTCTTGTTCCTTTTTGGCAGGAATTGCTAATAGCAGACACAAGTCCTTAATTTACAAAAAAAAACAAAGAAATGTGCACAACGAGGCACAATTATCTCTTTATTTTGTAATTTAAGTTGAATAAATAAGCAATCCAATCCTGCCGTCGCGACCTCTGTCGCTTTGCTTGCGTGGCCTGTTCGGACACCCTGCTGTCACGTCCCCGCCCCGGCGTGCTCCCGTGACGGTGCCAGGATGGGAGAGGCACTGGCTGTGTGAATGAGGCCTAACCGTCCTTTCAAGGGGTGGGGGAGGGGGGGGGGGGGGGGGGGGTTGGGACCGGTTTTCGATCGAAATCGGGCCGCTGGAGCTGAAATAAGCCAAACGAGGATGTCCAACGTCCCCGTCACCGGCGGGAGACCTGGACCGCCGGCGCCCCGCCCCATCGAGGGATGGCCAATCACAAAATAGGAAACTTTGCTAAATCTGGCAGATTCTCATAAGTTATTTGACCATGGGCACGACTGCGGCAGGGGGAATTCACCTTACTGTGCCCTAACGATGAAGCCAACAAAGCTCTTTTCGGGAAGGAGGGAGGCCAGCGAGGGGGGGGGGGGGGGAGGGTGAAACCATAAAGATAATCATGTTCAGTTTCTGCATGAACATAGTGTTTCCTGAAATATGGCACTTATGCTTACCTGTATCGTCAAGAGGAAAACATGTTAATTCATAATTTAAAAAGTAACTAAAAAGTATCTGGCATTGCTTTTTATCGGTATCGGTAATGCATTCCTTTTATTTTGAGGTAACAGGTCAGCAATGCATTGCTTTTATTTGCAAGCAACGAGTAACGTGCGGGGTCGGTCCGATAAGTACTTAGCCTCACCGCCCGATGGCGCCACTATTCAAGGGAAATTTACTATCATGTAGTACATTCTCGTAGACGGCTACTATCGAAATTTCAACCGAATCGGACTCGTAGTTTTGCTTTGGCCGCATGTGGAAGCGGCAGTTTCTGCAAATTTTAGAAAAATGGAAAAAGAGCAATATCGGTCAGTGATTCGATTCTTGTTTTTGGAAGGGAAATCGCGCAGTGAAATCAAAGAGCGCTTGGATGCTGTGTATAATGACTCTTCTCCTTCGATGGCGACTGTCAAGAATTGGTTTAACGAGTTTCAATGTGGTCGCACGTCGGTTTTTGATGAACCACGCCCAGGTGCCCCGAAAACGGCTACCACGGAGGATAATGTGACAAAAATCCGTGATCTCGTATTGGCAGACCGCCGATTGAAGGTGCGCGAGATAGCTGAGGCAGTAGGCATCTCAAAACACCGCGGGGGTCATATCCTGCATGAAATTTTGGGCATGAGAAAGCTTTCGGCGCGATGGGTGCCACATTTGCTCACTCCGGACAACAAGCGCAACCGTGAGACCACTTCAGAGCAGTGGTTGACGCTGTTTAAGCGCAATCTGTAGGAGTTTCTGTGTCGTTTCATGACCGTCGATGAAACATGGATTCACTGGTACACACCAGAGACCAAAGAACAGTTGAAACGGTGGACTTCACCCGGCGAACGTGCTCCGAAAAAGGCGAAGACTGTCCTATCGGCCGGAAAGTTGATGGCCTCCGTTTTCTGGGATTCACAGGTGTGATCTACATCGACTACCTGTAGAAGGGCAAAACGGTCACAGGGCTGTACTATGCCGAATTATTGGGCCGATTCGACACCGAATTGCAGAACAAACGGCCCCATTTGGCGAAGAAGAAAGTGCTCTTCCACCATGACAACGCACCGGCTCACACCTCCGCTCTCGCCACGGCCAAATTGGTGGAGTGGGCTACGAACTGCTGCCCAATCCACCGTATTCTCCAGATTTGGCCCCGTGCTTTTAGAGCGCAGCTCTTAGGCTCCCGTTTCCGGCTTGAGCGGCGTCGCCGTCGGCGTAACCGCGCGGTGCATTATGGGTAAATTTCCCCGCTAAATCTAGCGGAAAATTTCCCCGCTAAATCTAGCGGAAA